ATGGATGGATGGATGGATGGATGGATGGATGGATGGATGGATGGATGGATGGATGGATGGATGGATGGATGGGTGGGCGGTCGGTCGGATGGCTAGAAACATAGATACATAGATACATAAAAATAATATGAAGGATGGAACCGGGAGAGATTTCTCATCAGTAACAACTGTTACATCTCATAATTTGTCTTTCTGCCCTTACATAGAGCACTCACTCACATTCTTTTCACTTCAACTATATGTACTTAGATAAATGTCGATGTGAAAAGTGTGAGTCTAAAATAGACATGGCGAGCTGTTCCTTTTTTTTCCATTCCGCCTTTTAAATGAAGGGGGTCTGGAAAATGAGGACCTAAGTTACTTTAGAGTCGATTCGAGAAACGCACCAAAAAAGATTAATTGATTTAAGTATGATGTACTGCAGAGTTTAGGTAGTTTGTAAAGGCCATGGCTCTGATTTAAAGCCATCCTGGTGGATGGTAGGCGGGTGCTCTGGTGTGGTTTGCTCCTTCTTTCCTATAAAAAATCTATCGCCTCTATCTCTGCTCCTTTTTTGTGTTTGTTACTCTCTTGTAACACCTCTAATCTTCGCCACTTATATGACCTTATTGTGTTGCAAGTGCCGCAAAACTCTTATTAAAACTAAACAGCTATTCTGTCATGAAAAGTTTAATTACTATAGAGTGTGTTGTAACATCTGTGTGACGTCATACAGTGAACTCTATTTGTGAAGCAGCGTGGGGAAATAGGTGCTCGTCCAAATAATGAAATCGAAGATATTTGCACTTTTCTGGACGTTTGGGCAATTTAAAAAACAATTTTCTTTCTTTTTTATTTTGGCTTAACACCTTTTATATTCATTTAAAAACACATTTCTGTGTAGAGTTTACTGAAAAAACATTGATTAAAGGCACAAAAATATCAGTTTTCAGTTTCCAAGTACTCTCTAGCTATAGAAAATATCAAACTTGGGGGGCCATTTACTCGCTAATTTCACATCTGAAACCAGGCAACCCTGACCTCTTTCAATCGCAAATATTTCAACTTCTATTCAACATAGATGGATATTTTTTCACCAAAAAGGAAGGCAAATGAACAAGCTTTAAGATGATACCAATAACTCTGTATGCCCAAAAACTGATGAACGTCTGATTCCACCATATCGCGACACATTTGTGTTGCTAAGCGATGGAATCAGGCGCTTGTCTGTTTAAGGGCTTATGGAGTTTTTGGTATGATATTAAAGCTTTTGCATTTTGCCTTGGTTTTGATTTACCCCCCCCCCACCCCCCAAAGAAAAACAACAACAAACAAACAACAACAACAACAACAAAAACACAGAACAAAAACCAAAACCAAAAAAACCAAAACAAAACAAAAACCCCCATCTATGTTGCATGAAAGTAGAGCTATTTGCAATAGGGGCGTTAAACCTATACCATTTCACCATTTTTTGCAATTGAAAGAGGGAAGGGTCCCCTGGTGTCAGATGAAATGTTAGCCCCCCCCCCCCTCTCCACCCCCCTAAAAAAATCAGACAAAAAAGGCCTCCAAACTTTGGTGATTTCCAAAGACTGAGAGTCCTTGAAAATTGTAAATTTATGGTTTTTTTTTTTTGCCTTTTCTCAACGTTTTTCCAGTAAAATCCGAGCAGGAATGTGTTTTTAAATGAACATAGAAGGTGATGAGTCGAAAAAGAAAATATTTAAAAAAAATATATCCACCCCCTCTGTTTCTATGATTTCATTATTTTGACGAGCGCCTGATTTCACCGCGATGACTCCTATACATGTGACATAGACCCTTTCTGTGACCCCATCAATCGTAATCCCACCTGTCTACCGCAGGCGGAGAACGATTACCACGGATCGTATCAAGAATTCGCCAAGCTTCCGGACAAGGCCTCGGAAGAAAGCACGGCCTCGTCGGAATCGATTCGTGGGAATCTGCACAACTTCCACAACGATTACATCCTCCGTATTCGGGCCACCAACCGGACTGTGGACGAGTACAACAAAGCTCTGCCGCAGATACTCGAGGTAAGCTCACTTAAAGTAAAGAGTGGGCGGTTGGCGGGTGCTCTGGCGTGGTTTGCTCACTCTTTCCTATTAAACAACTATTGTCGTCTTTATCTCTCCCTTCTTCTTCTTTATGTTTGTTACTCTCTTGTAACACCTATAATCTTCAGCACTTATAAGACCTTATTGTGTTGCAAGTGCCGTAAAACTCTTACTAAAACTAAACTAAAAGTAATGAATCAATAATAATAGTAAATTGCTTTTATTTTCTAATTCCTACTGCCCATCTTCATCCCGATCAGGTTCTCTATAATAGATTTGCCCACTCGGGAATCGAACTGGAGCCTTTTAGCTGTGTGAGACGGAGAGGAGAATCAAATTAGCTTCTACACCATACATGCTTGTGTGTAATGGTTAGCCCAGTTGGTAAAACCTCTACATAAAAACATTTTAGAAAAGAACATTTTCCGTCGCTATCCGGATTCGAACCCACGACCTATTGAATGAGAGTCGAACACCTTGACCTCTAGACCACGAGATCCTCCTTAACTAAACAAACAGTGAAAGCAGCAGCCGATTAAGCGCTCAGAAAATTACATTTTGGGAAAATCTGTCTCAGTCTATAGCCGAGTACACATTCATACCCACGTGAAGTGAGGAAAACTCGTGTAAAGTGCATTTCTTATGCACACGTAATTGGCGGGAGGGGGG